GAAGCATCGAGTTTCTCAATACTATTGTTAAAGTGTATCTACTGAAAGTGGATAAACTGTGTCATGTTTTATTTGGCTCCCGCACATAAGGGCACTGTTACACTCCTTCCCGTGAGCACCCCACAGACTTGAATCAGCGCCACCAGCGGCTGTGTGGAGACACTGGCACCTACATTACCGCAGCAGCTCTTACTAACTCTTACTCATGTAAAGTGCTGCCAGGCTAGGTTCCCACCAATCCTCTCAATTCCTGTCAAAAACACAATGCCGAGTTTTACATAAATGTCTGCCCCTATTTGTCTTGTTTATTTTTATCTCGATTTTTAGCTCCCAAATATATTTCTGAAACTAACATACTAGTTACTGCTTACAGCACTAGACCTTCCTTACTTTAACCATGTCCGAATAAATGTTCAGTAGAAACAGGCCACAGAAAGTATTACTGCTTCTAATTCCTTAGCGAACTCTAATTGCATTCTTATGTTCCTACTTCTTCAAAACCAGTTTCTCCCTCCTGGATTTCCCCCGATTCCTTTGACACACATAGAACTGCTTAGTTGTTTACTAGGTCTCTAAGACTTCTAGGGTTAGAAGGGACTTTCCAGGATCATCTAGTCTTGCCTATCTTGCTCCTTTCCAAACAAGGAACAGGAAACCAGGAAATGGTATCTATACCCTGGGTCACATGGCTAGTAAGTAGTATATTTGGAAGTAGAACTAAGGAACTCTAAATACAAATATGTAATATTCTTTCCATAACAGGTCTTATTTTAAATTTCCATATCTTCATCTGCTTCTTAAAATACTGGTTTTGATACTTTGTTTCACCTAAAGCATTGCAATTTTTGTTTCCAAGATATAATGGCTACCACATTAACAGCACATACCCTGTTTCCTCTACTTTTAAAGTCTATTTAGGAAGTAAATGGATGAACAGTCTGTCTTTACCATGACAAACTACCTGGTAAAATAAATTTTGGGGTGCTGCATGGATAGAGGGAAGAAATATTCTGATTATGAATCTCAAATCCTGACCCTCAGCCTACAAGTGCATTTAATAAGATTTAAGTTTCTAAAACTCAGTAGAGACAATGATAATTTTATCACTATATTAATAGTGATATATATTAAACCACTGTACTAATGATACAACATATTCTTTCTATATTATTTCTGGTTAACTTACATCAAGATCACTTATGACTAATCTAACAGAGTATGAAATCCACTGAATTATTAATAAATAATAATTATCTACTTCCCCATCAGAATGTAAGTTCTATATGAGTATTAGTGTTTTTTAATAATTATTTTATTTTATTCACCATTATTATTTTTAAAATTTGACCAGAGAGAGATCGAGGAAAAGCAAGAAAGCAAGCAGCCATGTCCAGGGCTGGAATCGCAGTCATTTGGGAATCCAGCACCCCAACCACCACATCACCTGCCAGCCCTAGTATTTGTTTTTTACACTCAGTGATTTTTGCCTGGTTTTCAGCAGGCTCTCAATAGAAATGTATTGATAAACAAATTATTAAGTTCCTTAAGAAGAAAACTAACCCCCAAAATAGAAATGCAAAGTTCTGAAAAGCTAACAACTCCACCAAAAAGTAAACAAAAGAGACAAATCCCAGAGGGATTTACTTAGCCATCAAATCGAACTAAAGAAACAAATGAGTCTCCACAGTACAATTACAACATTCTTTTTCAACAAAGTGCTTACTCCTTCCCTGATTTGCCCTTTTCCCTAGAATTTCTCGTCAGGTTACTTTTTGTTTCCTTAGTCTCCTTGTACCAAAAAAATACTTCCATGATAATTCCTCTATTCATTTTTCTAGGAACACCAAGTAAATGTTCAAGGAGAACAAAGTTCCCTACCATGAAATCATAAAAAGGCTATCAGCAGACGCACAGATCAGGTTCCTTGTAAAGTAGTACACAATTACTTTATGAACTGAACTAAAAACACCAACATGAATTCACTATTATTTCTGTGTATGAGGTTACTCTTGCAATTTGTTTCCAAATATCAAATCTCTCACAAGTAACTATTTCTAACAATCTTATATTGGTCAATTAAAAACATTCTCTTCAATGGTGCTTTTATTATATGTCATTTTTACACTATTCTCTAAAACCTAAGCAAAAAGTATCAAAGTAATATGTTAATTCAAAGGTAAGGGATGAATTTGCTTACCTAATCCTTTATTTTGCTAATGTTTTAAATATGTTTACAACTTAATTTACTTCAAATGTCTATGCCAAGTTGAAAGTTACTGATTTAGAACAAACTACACAAACCCAAGCCATTTAACATCCTTCCCTTATTTGTTATTTAAACATTCATACTAAAATATTAAAAATTATTTTACTTATCAAGTTAAAATTATTATATAGACTACCAATCATTTAGTTTCTATTACATAAGCAACATAAAGCACCAGCTTACATAAAGCCACCAAGTTTTCTCAAATAGAGCTTGTCTTTAGATTCACAAAAGTGAAAAACTTAACTCAAAAATTACCCAAGAAAACTATGAATTTAATAAACAGATTAACTTACTGAAAAAATCTTTAAAGACTTTCATCCAATCCATTTTGAATAAAAATTCTGCGTTCTATTTTGTCAGTTTGTTAACACAACGCAGGATAATTCTCAGTGAGCTTCCTGGTCTGTTCTGCAACACTGAAACTTCCCACACCCATCCATGTGACCTGGCCCACACCCAGGGCATAGAAAGTTTTTCTGAGGCTTCTTTCTTTCCAAAAATTTTTCCCTCCCTAAACTTGTAACAGACCTGTGAGACAAGTAAATCGTGATGGCCAAAAATATGACCTTATTATCTGAACTTACTTTGGAAGCTGTAAAACATAGTTTTTAATATAAAAAAATATATTTACACATTCATCCTTTCCTTTACTTCTTTCTTAACTTGCAAATAATGTCTCCACAATAATTGTGAAACAAAGTAATTACAGGGTTTATTAAGTTACCAGAAAGGAGTACAGAAATTCTGAGAAAAGGGAGAAGGCTGTCTAATGCAAAAGCTGGATTTATATCATTACACAGGCTAACTTCAAAATAATATTACTAAGTACCTTGGAATATAGGGAGCAATAATTATAATATATTGATAGTAATAAAATCAAGAGAGTTCCTAAAACTTAAATAGAAATAAAATGTTAAATTGTCTTAATAATATCAGAAAATAGCATGAAAGGTTTCCCAAGAAAATTAACAAATAATAATTATACCTAAGTGGGCTTTCAGATTTATATGCAATGATATCTACGAGTGGGATACTTTTCCTCTTTGTTCTATGATAGTAGTTTTTTCACTCACTACCTTTTGATATTTTCTGTCACATTTGCTCTATTCTTAAGATACCGGTAATCCTTTAAAAAGGAACAAAAAGGTCTGTTTAGGTCTGCTTTAGTCTGTGCATTCAACACTATAAGATGTATTTCTTAATAGCAATTACCTGAATTTTCCCTAATATCTCTAATCAACAGGGTTTAAATAAATGCTCAGTATTTACAAAACCAGTTCGTTGTTCTATCTCTGGACTCCTCAGCTATTCAAGAAAAAAATTTCCTTTTAAATTTATCTTCTATCTAAATACTAGACATAATAAACTTATTTGCAAAATCTTTTAAAAATTACCTCAGCAGTTAAATGTCACAGTGAGTACACCTATTAAATTACCTTTAGAACATGGAACATTTTTTATAGCTCACAAGCTGACATTCCAATACTTTTTAACATACTTTGAAATATACTCTATTTTACACTTTGTTCTTTAACAATGGTCGAAAACATTAAATATCTATTTTCTATTGCTGATACTTGATAGAACACTCTAGTCTAGAATAACTAAGATGTTGAATAAGAAATAAAAACTGATTACATCAGTGAGTTGGTATTTCTTCTGTCAGTTATGCTACATTGCTTCCAAACTGTCTTTGCAAGAAAAAACTTCTCTTCTACATATAGACAAAGAACGATTAAGCGCCAGAATGTTTGCCTGAATACCAAAAATGAAATTCTGTCCCTCCCAATTCCTTCCTGTCTTCTAAGGAGTTTAATTTTTTTAAAAAAGGGAGGGAGGGGGAAGGTCAATCCTCACCCCTACATATTTCCTTCCTATCAGTGTAGACAAGCCCAGTGTGAAGCAAGTTCTGTCTCTAATCCTAATAGAGGGCCAGTACAAATTTTTAATATATTTTTTTTAAAAAGCAAGAGGAACTGGCAGGTGGCATCGTGGTTAAGGGTGCTGGACTTCCATGTGGCTGAACATGGTTCGAGTCCCGGACCTGGCAGCTTTCTTTCTCACTTTCCCTCCCTCTCTCTCCTCCTCTCTGGTCAAATTAAAAATAAATAAGTAAATAAATATAAATAAATAAGTAAAATAATTCTTTAAAAAAAAAAAGCTAGAAAGGAGGGGGAGAAAAGAGAAAATGGGAAAGAGATCAGCTCTGTAAATACTCATGCACAAAACAATCCACAGTTTAAACCTCTTATCAAATAGAAGAATAAAATGAGGTTTGTTTTCAAAGTAAAGCTCAAAATGTAAGCCACTAGATGCTAAAATTCAGCACTGTGCCATCTAATACATGTTGCCTTGAGGCCAAGAAGGCAGTTCTGCATCTTACTTTTCCCTCTCTCAATTAGAGGCAGAATTTGCCTATAAAGTCTAAACTCTGATAGGCACTCATGATTCAAGAAGCCCCTATTAGAAGGTGAGCAACAATACTGCTCACCAGCATCACTCTGGCTTGACCTTCAGATTCTGGCCTAGAATTTGCACCTCACGCTATCACTCGTGACCTTCACTGACTTGGCTTGAACATATGCTATGAGCTAAACTTACCCTTCCCTTCCCTTCCATGCTTTCTCGTGTCAATTGCATCACTGCTGCCAGAATTCTATACATATGACTAAGTTCCAGAATCCATTTAAAAGAAAGTTGTTGCTTTTCTTTTAATACAAAAGTAACTTACCCAAAGTATCCTTTAGGTTTTTTACAATAGATGCTTTCCTAGCACTGTTTTTCCTTTCCACATAGTTAGAAGGCACAAAACCTGTTTTATTCATGGAATTTCGAACTCGCCACCAAGACTTGGAATCATCCAGAAGCCATAATCTCTCATTCTTCTTGATGTCCAACTCTTGTTCTTGTTGGGCCACATAATCAAATTTGGCTACTACCACCACTTCTTCTGCCATTTTTCAGCAGGTTGAACACTGTAAACACAGAAAATATGTGTTACTTATTCATTTATTCCAAGAAAGAGAAATTGCCAACAGAATCTTTAGGCCACAATCTATTTCTCAATCTCAGCCAGCCTGAATAACAGACACATGCAAACACACCTGGCAGGTACAGGGAGGTACACCCTGCATATACAGGGAGACTTTGAGCCTTGAACCTAGGACTTTCCCACGTGGGTTATTTCCATTACTACTGAACCACCATCTGACCCTGAAACTATTTTTATCTATGGAATTGTAATACTCTACAAGCTATTCAAAATGAGACATATCTAAAAATCTAAGAACACTAAAAGATTAAAAGTAAAATACAAGAAAAAATATACCAGGCAAATACTAATTAAAAAAAGAAAAATTAGTGTTGCTGTATTATACATAATAACTTTAAGGTAAAAATCCTAAGCAATAAAGCTTCCTATACAATGATAAAAAGTTCTACTCAATATGTGTAAGACCTATATGTATTTAATAACATAGCTCCAAGGTAAATAGATAGGTCAGAATCGAAAGAAGTTGAAATCCATTATCACAGAGGATAACTTTCAACATATCTATCTCTGTAATAAAACAAAGAGAAAGTTATCATTAGCAAGGCTAGAGAAGAACTGGTATCACAACCAGTAAGTTTGATTGAATAGACATATACAGAATATGTCTTCCAAACAAAAGAATACAAACGGAACATACACAAAAACGGATCAAATGCCAGGCCACAAAGAGTCTGAATGACTTTCATGTAACTGGTATTCTAAATTCTTGAACACTCATAACAAACCAAGATAGTTTTTTTTAAATATTGCATACGTTTGAAAACTCCCAAAAACTCATGAAAGCAAGAAGAGATTATACAGAATTCTGGAAATATTTAGAAGAAAATGATAATAAAAGGACCAAATAGCTAGTCTTGTAGGATGCAGCAAAGTGAGTATCTAAGAGATTTTTAGTTTCTAATAGTTACACTGGAAAATAAGAGCTAGACCACCCTCAAGCCCTAACAATTAGGGGAGCTGGATCTCAGATGGCCAACCACAGTTCAAATCGCAGCCATGGTGGCTTGAAAAATACACCAGACATATGTGCATGTGTGTCCAAAATCCTGACAATATGGAGAAACAGAAGAGACTGCAGCATAATCATGTCCCAGTAGGAGCTGCTTTATCCTTTTCTCTGGCAAGTGTGCTGGCAATTGAAAAAGAAAAGAAGAAAAGCTAAAGATAAATGAATGAACTAAGCATCAATCTTAGAGACCAATTCTTTTTTTTTTTTTTCTTTTTTTGGAGAGGTTTTCGCTATAGGGTGCGTGCATTCGCCAGACAGAGAGACATAGAGACAGAAAGCGAGAAATCATCCCCCAGAGAGGATGGTCACGCTGCAATCCCTTCTCCTCCATTCTCCTCTCGGGATCTTGGGCACGCACGCACACGCACCCGGCGTGAGTTTTAAGCCACCGGGTCCGGGACGCGAACTGCGGTCGACTACGTGGGAGTCCAGCGACATAGCCATTACACTAACTGCTGGTCCCAGCATCAATCTTAAGTAGTTATAAAAGCAGAAGAATTTGGAGGCCAACAGATGTCTCTCTCTCTCTCTTTGGTGAGTACATGCATCCTAAGGCAAAAAAATTCTCAAAAAAAAATGTAGAAGAATTTAAAGTGAAAAAAGTAAATATAAATAAAAGCAGAATTTAATGAAACCAAAACCAGAATTTAATTAAACTGACAACAAAGATATAGCAGAAAAGCTCAATAAGATAAAAAGGTGGGGCCAGCAGATAGCAAAGCAGTTTTGTCGCTGGACTCCCACATGACCAACCATGGTTTGAGTCCTGGACCCAGTGACTTGAAACTCACACTGGCGCATGCATGTATGTGCATGCCTAGGATACCAGACGGAGAATGGAGGAGAAGGGATGGCAGCCTGACCATTCAGGAAACTGACTTCTCACTTTCCCCCTCACTGTGTCTGTCAGTCTGAAACACTCCAAGCAAGCTCATGAATGGCCAGGATTGCACATCACAAAGGCTGGGGGCTGGAGGAGTTGTCACTCTTTCTCATTCTATCATGAAAGAAAAAAAATTTTTTTTTTAAGTTTTGCTATAGGGCATGTATGTTTGCTGGGATGGGAGAGAGAGAGAAATCATCCCCAGGGAGACAGTCACGCAGCAATCCCTTCTCTATTCTCCTCTTGGGATTCTGCAGACACACATACACATGGCCAGTATATTCTTCAAGCCACCTATCTAGGACTCCAAGTGTGTAGTTGGCCATGTGGGATCCAAGGCTTTAACCACCATACCACCTGCTGGCCCCACTATTACCTTTCTAGTAGCACCTCTCTATCATTATTTTAATCATTCAACTAAAGGGACTGATCCTAACTTCAAAGATGTTTCTGGACTGGGCCAGCCTATGGCCAAGTAGTTAAGTGAGCTGGATCCCACAAGAACAACCACATGGTTCAATTCCCAGACTATGTGGCTTAAAAAATATGCCAACCACGTGTGTATGCGAATCCAAAATTCCAAAAGGAGAGAGAAATGGAAAAAGGATTGTGGTGTGATAATCAATGCCCCTAATGTGGTGCTTTCTTGTTTTTCTTCTCTTGCTCATTAATGCTCTCTCTCCCTGGCTAGTGTGCCTGCCCTTTGGCAAATTTAAAAAAAAGAAAGGTGTCTACATTAACCAAAGCCTTGTCTGCATATTAGAAAAAAAAAAATTTAAATATGTGTACTTAGGCCCCTACTTCAGGGATTCTAAATAGCCCAGAGTGTCAGTCAGATGTTAGTATTTTTTAAGCTTCTTTCCTTCCTTCCCTCCCTCTTTCTTTCCTTCCTTTCCTTCCTTCCTTTCTTCCTTCCTGGGGGTATAGAGGAGGAAGACAAGCACCCTCAACAGGGCGTAGTACTATGATCCTCCTACCAGCTTTCCCAGACAGCCAGAATCACAAGCATTGGTGCACATGCCTCACATGTGTAAGTTCACCTGGAACCAAACCTCAATCTTCTATGTGGCCTCCAGTTCTGCAAAGCGGCCGGCTACTGCTATACTACCACAGGTAGGTCAGGTATTAGCACTTTTATAAAACCATTCAAGTGACTCTAACATACAGCCAGGATTGAGAGCCCATATAAATTAATTATGATGATCTTTCCCTTGCTAGGTTTGTCCAGTTAAGGCCAATGGGATGCAAATGTATACTAGGGACTTGGGGGGGGGGGTGACTGGCTCTTGAGAAACACCGTAGGAGACCATCTCTGTTGTGAACAGAAAGATGTGAGATCTAGAACTACTACAGCCATCCTGCCACCAGTTGGAAGATGAAACCAACATGCAAGAAAAATGAAAATTATGGAAAACAGGGCCAGCCATGCTACAATAAACAACAAAGCCTGCCCTCAGAGCCCGCATGTCCTTTATCTAATATGTTTCTTTATTGTGTAGTAAGAGTTTTAGTTAAGGTTTACTGTTATATTCAGCTATAAGCTTCTACTAAGCAAAACTATCCTATCAGATATTAAAACATGCTAAAACTGGTAAGGTAATTTAAAATACTATGATACTGGTATAGAATCAAATAGACCAACTGTATATTAGATGGAGGTCCACAAAACAGGTTCACCCTACATATAGGTGGCTTTAGAAGCCCTCTTCTCTAACGTATAAGCTATCATTTCTAGATTAGGCCTCTTAAAAGTAGATGAAGTACTTCAAAACAGTGGTAATAAACAATCCAAATACATAAGAGATTCTTGTGTATTTACTCCCCTAAATATTACAGTGGTCTCACCCAAACCTAATTCAAAAGGGAGTGATTTCTTTACAGTTATTTAACTTTGGTAAATCTTTCTAAAGCAATTAGTGTAATTTTTAACAAAATAACTCTTTTATCATTATTTTTATATTTAATAAGTACACATGTTTTTGTTTACACAATATATACAATTTTTAAAGATTTATTTATGTAAACAAACGAACAAACAAACAAACTTGACCAGAGAGGGACAGAGCGAGAGAGAAAGCGAGAAAGCAAGCCACCAGGTCTGGAATTCAAACCATGGTTGGCTATGTGGGAGTCTGGAACCCTTAACCAGCATGCCATCTGTAGGCCCCACAGTATATAAAATTAAAAGCAGCAGTCTTGAAGAGGCTTTACATCTGAATCTTAGTAAGCAGATTCAATTAATCTGGTGGAAATGGAACTCTGTCAAGGGTTTCCAGTTATATGCTTCATAATAGAAATGATTAATCAGACATGTCAGTTGGGTAACATCTACCCTCTGTGTAAAAGAATGCAAATTATAAGAATTTTATGTCACAGTGAATCAAAGAAATCTCCAGGGAAATCAGACATTACACTGAAGAGAAAGAAAATAAACGAGCTATCAAAATGTGTGGGCATAGCTAAAGCAGTTCTGAGAGGGAAATTTACAGTACTAAGACATATTACAAGAGGAAAGCCTCAGACCAGTAATCTATCTCCTGTCTCAAGAATTTAGAAAAAAGAAATAAAGCAAGCAGAAGGAAGGAAATAAGAAGTAGTAGAAATCGAAACTAAAAACAGAAAAATAGTAGAGAAAAAAAAATTAATGAAACAAACTGGTTCTTCAATAAAAATAGTAGATTAAATTTTAGTAAGAAAAAAAAAGATACAAATTAACAATTAAAAAATGAAACACTGTAGCTATATGGTGGCACATCAATAAAACTCAATGCTATGAGACTGGCCCACATAATAGAATTCTGAGTTCATGTTTAGAGACCTCCCTAGGTATGCCAGATATGTGCATGACCATGGGGGGGGGGAATCATGGCATCAAGTCTCTGTTGGGTGTGTGGGCTCTGTCTCTGTCACCATGGAATAAACAAACTCAAAAAAAAAAAGTGGAAAAAAAAAAAACCACAGGAAATACCACTACAAACTATGCATAATAATAAGGATTAAGGATTAAAAGGATAATAATGGAATACTATTT